TATCGTTATGTGTGGTTTCGTTTTAAGGACCCCTCATGATTCACCTCCTGGAGTACCTGGAAGAGAAAACAGGAATAATACATCGTCACCTGGATGACTCACTAAAATGGATTGGTCTACTTGTATTTTCTCGTTTTTTTTTCTTATTTTTCCTAGTAAACATATGTTAACTTTTTTCAAGAAAACAGCTGGTTAAGTTTTATTATTTAATCGAAAGATATTTTTAAGTTTACTAGGCATACGATGAAACTGTTATCAGTTCATCATTTTATAAAATCTGTCTATAAAATAAATAAATGTTCTAATACCGTTTTTGTCGGTCTTTTTTAATCCTAGGGACAAGTAAAAAAATCAAATGGACAATTATTTTAATTAAGTGGTTGGGAGAAACATTTAAAAATAAAATTTTTTTTGTTTAGAAAATGAAGTTTGCATGCACTGAAAAAATTAGCAAGGTGTTAATCGGCCCTACTCTTTGTATTCTGCAGTTCTTAAAAAACTAAAATCTCGTTTGAGTTTTGTAATAAAATAGATAATAATAGTTATAAAAATAAATGAATGGAGCGATTGAGTCTATTCAGAGTGCAACAACAGACTGCAAAACATTAACAGGAAAGGAATACCTTGAAAGGCATAATAACATAGCAAATGTAATTCACCAAAGTGTGGCATAAATATTATAAATTTACTCTGAGATCAAAACCTTATTGTCTTTATAACCCACAGTCTAACCTTTCGAACATAATAAAAAACGAAACAATCATTTGTTGGGATCAACCTATTATCACTGACCTTACAGTGCCAAACAATAAACCAGATATTGTGATTGTACGAAAAAAAGAAAAGCACGTTTGTAACAACGGAGATAGGAGTTCCTCACGATGACAATATTTAAAAAGTGTTTGGACAGAAGTTAAGAAAATATTAAAAACTCTTTGAGGAACTGAAACAATGATATAGGCCAAAACAAGCTAAGGTGTTGGTTGCCCTTCATCGTATGGAGCATTGGATTGATCCCCAAAAAAAAAACATAAAAACTTTTAAGAAATTGCGACTAATTATATCCTTGAACGTCAAAAAGCTTTGATATTAGAGACAGCCAACGTAGTTTTAAAAAAAGTTAAATATTTCATAAACAGAGCCTAGCTCTTAACGCATTGAGTCCAGGCAGGTAAATATTACAGCAATGGCTGAGAAGCGCGAAATTAGTCATAAAAAATGTTTATTTGTGCGGACATTTCAACCCAAACATGTGGGTCATCATCAGTGCTGAAAATTTTAAAATACAATTAGAGATATAATATTATACGACCGATATTGGTAAATAATAAACTACAGTGATTGATGGTACATGAATCTTAACTATTATTACAATACACAATATTAAAAATGAATTATGTAAAAAGTTATACAAACTAAAAGTAATGCATATAATCCATTTATAAAAAATTGTAATATTTTCTCCTTTTTCTCTTTGTAATATTCTAACCGTGGTTCGATCACTGAAGGCTTTCAAGTATTGACACATTAGTAGGTAAGTGAAAGGGTCGAGGGAGGATTTCCCAGTTGTCCTTTTTCAGATAGCAAAAGGCAGGTAAAAATTTAAGAAAATTTATAATGACTGCGTCCTGAATATTTATTACCCATGATATGTAGAACAATCGACTAGCTTCCTTCAATAATAAAGTTGGTAGTTAATATGAGAAATAATTTAACAATAGAATTGGTATTCCAATGATTACAGTGACCACGTCCAATCCACATCTATCTTCTTACTGTAAGATGGACGTTGAAATTTTACACAAGTATGGATTAGCAGATTCGAATTTTCCTATATTTCGAGTTAAATACATTTGGTATTAGACATGAACAGAATATTATACATTTTTATGTATGCTTATAACAAGTCGTAGAACCCGTCATCTCGATTATTCAACCATTTCCAACTTACATTTCGCAGCTGGGAACATACATCTGCTGATATACAGTTTTCGATTTCTTTTTTCATTGATACCGGAAAGGATTTTCCTCAAATTTTCCGCCGAACTTGCCCGAAGGCATTAGCTGATCCTGGCTAACGACCGTCTGGGAAGAGACGATAAACGCCTGCCCGGTTACCGCAGAAGAGCGTGTCCACAGAACGTTCACCCTATCTGATGATGAGTCCTGGGATAAGTGCTCACAAGTTTCCCATGACCGATAATCCTTCAATTAATTTTCTATTGTTGATGTAAATTGTCCAGTTTGTTTTCTTCCTCAACTATATACAAAGAGAAAGATTTTCGGAAGTTGTGACAAGATTAAATGCACTACTTAATTTTAGCGGAGGTCGATTCCTGCGTACTGTTTGATTATTATGAATTTAAACCTTAACTTAGTTTCCAGGAACTTAGCAATATCGGACGAACTGACATAATTCAAATTCATTGGAAACAAGATAAAATCTACCATAAATGCCAAGAAATACAAGACCATGAGATTCCATGTTACGACTGAAGAGTTCTAGAACACTGGAATGATAAATTTTTCTTAAAGCTCTTGTTTATCTATGTACTATTTACTTGGATGTTTGTTACTAAATTCTATTTGGTTTCGTATAGCTTATGATAAAAATTTAGTTCAGCATATTACATAATATATTACTTCTTCAAGCATTAGTAAATTGACTGATTGAACTAGTTTGCGAACAGTCATATCGATAGAAGCTACTAAAAGTGTCTGAGATTGTTTGGTTAGTACAGCGTACCATCGCCTAATTTATCCCGTTCTAATCCAAAGTAAATATTTTTAACAGTAATGACTGGATCCAGGAAGTGTCTTTAAAGGGTCTCTTACACAGTCAATATTATTGAGTCAATATCGAGTTTCGTCTACATATTGACCGTGTTAGGGCTACATTGGAATAAATTATATTGACGTCAATCTAACTTTTTGATTTTTATTGAAGCTCCTTCAATATTATCGAAACAGCGTCAATATATTTGCACCTGTAAGGGCTCTATTGAGCAATATTAAGCCATACATACGGATTTTAAAAAGCTCTGGGCGATACCAAATTTCTGGCACTCCCCTTGGCAATATGTTTGAATAGGGGGGGGAGGGTGATACTTTGCTTAAGGGTTTTCTTTGTGGAGCGGGAAGTTTAACCTTCCTCCATTTTTTTTTTCTAAAACATAAATGGAAAAATGCTAGGGTAGGTGATTGATACTTTTATTATTAACATATAATAATTTAATAAGAGGGTTTAACCCCCCTCCCCTCTGAAATTAAAAATTACTTTTATTATTATTATTTTCTTTTTTGGGACAAGTTAAACTCCCCTCCCTCCGAATTGTTTTTTCTAAAAGATATATTGGCAATATATTTGGGTAGGTGGGTAATACTTTTTTTTGGGTAAGGGCCTCTTCTCGATTTTTGTTTTAAAATGTTATGGCAGTATGTTTTAAAAATTAAATAATTAGGAAACAAGAACAGAACCAATTTTAAACAAGAAACGTTTTAGTGTCAAAGAACATATATATTTTTTTTATTGCTAAAGCCAAGGAAATTAAAGTAATAGGAAATTCATTATTATTCATTGCTTTACACATAAAAGAAAGATTATCTCTTTGGAAACCTCCTTTAATGGGAGCGAGATTTCAACTGATATAATATTGGCTCAATATAATTGAACCGTGTGTGATACCCCTTTTGTATATTACTTTGTAAGGGGCCCTTTATGCTACGATTCCTTAAAATTAATTTCCTTTGGAAGAATTTTAATCGTTTACGTTCAGAGTACTAAGGATTTTATTCTAGAATTGTATATTTCACTATTAATATTTTATTTAAAACAAAATCTCATCGGTTCCTTTTCATGATTGACTGATTGATCAGTTAAGCCTTGTTGCAATGTTTTTTTTTATTTTTATTAATGCTGTGTAATTTTCACCTCTTTAGTTTATTAAATTTCAACTCTTCTCCTTTATTTTATTTGCAAATCTTTCCTCCATAAAGTGGAATAACGCATGAGCGCCACCGAAGGTCAGGATGTCGTTAGTCGTAAATCAAATAATTCAAATTGGTTGTTTGGATTCGAAGACCCGCATTCTGATTTTTATGAACCTTTTCAACGTTTTATGAAATCTCTTTTTATAAATTGTTTCACTAGCTCAAGACCTCCGCTGGATCTGTCTATTAAAAGTACTTAGAGTAAAATAATTTATTTCATAGTCCTTGAAGAGTGTAGAACGTTTCCTAGGTATTCAGTTATTTGAGCTTTCATTTATTAATGAAAAAATTGCAGGTTTACTTAATATTTGCAATTTTTTTTTGTTTTTTTTCTTTCCGTACTACCTTGGTTATATAGCTATTGTTATCGTAAAATTTCGTTTGTTACAATTTTACACGTTTGTTCTCTTTGCGCTGAAGGTTACATTTTGAAGCTAGCAACTGCCATTAGTAGTCTGTGACTTAGAAAATAGTAGAGGGAAACAAAATAAGAAATCATACTAATAAATCATAAAGAAATATTAGGTTTCTATGCTATTCTGTAAAAAAACTCAATTTTTACACACGATATGTTGCACTCGAGTCATATCTTTTTTTAGATATTCTGCTATTGTCAAAAAACTTCTCAATTGGATATTATATATAATAGTATATTGGCTATTTTATTATGTTATCCAAGATAAGGGGTATTTTAATTTGTTCCGATGTCTTTAAGAGTAAACTATTTTACGCAGGTTACCGTTTAAATCGTTTTACTTTTTCGAAAACTGGATGTCTCCCGAAAATACCAGATGATTGTTTGAAAATAAATCAGATTGTCTAAAAAGGTATATTAAAAAAACAATCTCTATCGGACCAATATTACCCCCCCAAAAAAAATTATTGTGTTTTGCTCATTACACGAAGGTAAGGTAAATCGTGTAAGTTAACATATCCGAAACTTTATTAATCTACTGCAAAATCTGTATGATTTCATTATTTTATTCCAAAACCTAAAATTCTTTCAACTCTCAAATATCATCTCTTAGTTTTTCTTTCCCCCACATCTTCCTCATTTTCTTCTCGATCTCCTTTATTCGCTCCTCTGTCCACCTCCTTTCATTCCTTTTCCGGCCACCACAAGAACCTTCTTTCCGTCTACTATCTTTCTCAACTTCTCTCTCTCTCTCTCTTGGTGATCTTCTCTGATCCGTAGTCTCTTTATTTATTCTTTAGGCTCAAGGTATCCTTAATCTGTAACTTTTATCACTTTGACAATGATCCGTTTGTTCAATCTATCCTTCTCCATCCTCTTCATGTGACCGTAAAACTTCAACTTTATTTTCCTCTTCGACGTTCCCAGGTCTTCAATGTCTGTTTACAGGTCCTCGTTCTTTTTTTGCCAATGCTCTTCTCTCCCTTCCCTTACTGTTTTGATACTGTTTATTTATTTTTATTTTTTCTAAAGATCTTGAAAGTGAAAGATCGCCAAAATATAGTTATGAATTTATTGATTAAACCTCTAGATTAGAAATTATATGTAATTTAAAATTTGGATTCACTGAAAATATTTTTGAAACTTTTGCCATAGGGTCGTTTTAATTAGGGCAATTATTCGAAAGCTTCTTTTGAATTGAAGTGAAGGGTGAATTATGGCAGTTCAACGCCCTGGCAAGATATTACATTTTTAGTTAAACTTCTTTTCCATTAAAATTCCTTTCGCAGTAAATCAACGTCTGCTTCCGATAGATTAGGTCTTATCTTCGAGGGAATAAAAATGTAACATTCAGGAATCAAGAACTCTGATAGTTAATTATCTTTAATGCGTGTTTGGTTTTCTCTTGTTGTGTCTAGGTGGAAGATTATCTCTGCCGTTTTATTTGTAGCTTTCTATCGTTATCCATCTCGGGCTAAATGCTTAAAGCTGGAATCCACTCTTACGCTAGGTACTCCAGTTCGGTCTCGGGCTACGCCTGCGTTACGCAATCTGCCGGAATAAAAGAAATAGGCTCGGTAATAGCAGCAGCACGCAGGAGAGGGGATTGAACTGTACGGTGCCACATACCAACGACGATATGGAGGCAAAGAAAGATTACAATGTGTCTGGTGTAAACAATACCGTAGGAATGTATGGGCGACTGCTAAGCGAGTTGACTGTCAAATGAACTTTCTTGTCTCTTCATTCGAACTGTTACGCACGAAATATTTTTAACGCTCCCAGAGGCATGGTTGGTTTTTAAAACGAAATCACCCATTTTTCTTTTTAAAAAACGTACATACGTATTTGAGATTGATATATTGTTAATTATTTACTTATCGTTTGAATGAAAAAAAAATCGTTAATAGATTGTATTTCCGAAATATATTTAATTTATTTTTAAAAACCCGCTCTCATAGTACAGTTTACATATATTCCATACGTTGAAACATTTAACTAAAAAAGAAAAATATTTTGTTTTTAATTCACATTCCGAATGTTTCTTTGAAACATGATTGAATTATCTTTAAACTAATAATGGTGTTTAGAAAAAAAAAGTAAGGATATAATTTTAATAACTAACTTTATGGTAGATTATAGTTTTATTGGATTTGTACTCAATGAGGCAATAGTGTAATAGAAATTCGCTTGAGAGGTCACAACAGTTTTTTTTTTTTTTTCATTTAGTAGGGAACTTCATTATATTAAAAAAAAGGATAATAAATTTAAAATTTTAGATCTGCATTGTTTAGTTATTAAAACCGTAAAAAATGTATACATGTTGAATTAATTACAAATAAAACCATGGATACCTTTTGAAAAATACTTAAAAAAAAATAAATAAAATAGTTCATATAGGGAAAAGGATAAGACAAACAAAAGCAATTTCCTAACACTAACTTAATTGTAATTTTTAACATAATGTTAATTTTAAATGACAGGAAAAATTTGAAAAACCGTTTTGACAGAAATTTACCCAAACGTTTTTAGTATTATTGCTTAAAAACAACTCGACATGCTATATTTCATGTAATTTAATTCTAAGAGGACCATCCATTGACCGAGTATATATATATATATATATATATATATATATATATATATATATATATATATATATATATATACATATATACATGAGTTATTTCTGAAAACTCACATAATTGTGTTCTAGAGGTTCTAAAGATGATTTGTTGCTCCTCTATTGCCATGAAAGTTCATTATTTTTGGGCAAAGTACAAAAAACCGTTATGTAGACAAACAAAAGTATACAGCATTATTAATTTGAACGGAATTGACTTACCTCCAAGCAATGCCTGAAGTGAAAAAAAAATCCCCCAAGTCCCCTACCTTCCTGCGACCACATTTATCACCAGTCTAGACCTTACCCCGGTATCAGGTAGTGTACCCTTTGGTAAAATGTTTTCTAGGTAATGTTTGGAACAGGTGAACATGCTCTGTTTGTGTGCTCTCTCTATCTTCCACTTCTTGTACGCCGTTGTCAACATTGCCGGATGTTGGGAACTTGAGGTTGTCGGTTCCTTATCTTCGATTCTCGTTGTTTGTTTGTTGACTGAGGTTTAGTCGTTATTTTTCCTTTTTCCTTAAACGTCATTGTTACCTGTAGAGGTTGGACTACAGTAAATAGATTGTAGGTATGTTGGGAAACCTGATGATATTCAAGGTTTTAGGTTTCATATGTTTTATTGAACCTAGTATTGACCAAAATCGGTCTTGGTCTTGCACTTTGCAAGACTAAGACCAACATCTCCTATCTGTTGCAAGACCAAGGCCAAGACTGGTAAAAAAAAATCGATTTTTTGAATAAAAATTGAGGCATAATAGTTACTAATACTTGAAAATTTTAGTTAGTATATGTAAAGAATTGGTTTGACCAGTATAGTATTGTATTTAACTCTTCTAATTTTTCATTCAGGCTTAGTTAGGTTTCTCCTATCTAAAAAATTACAATAATAATATCTAGTAATAAGCTAATAGGTAATCTGCAAGACTGTTGAGAGACTCTTGGGCAAGACCAAGACCAAGACTCGTCTCGGTCCCGCATTTGGGCATCGCTAATTGAACCTAACCGGCGAGTATTTTTTAAATATAATTCACTTGTCGAATTTATGTTGAAGATATAACAACATGGTTTCAGTTTTATGATCAGACTGATCGAAAATCTGTTTAAGCATCATCTAGATGTTTATTTTAAAAGTGAATCAGTTTGGAAAACAAAGATTTACCGTACTGCATTTATAAATCTGAACCTCTTTTATATATGCTAAGGAGTTTACTGTCCCTTGAAGGTTAAATGGTGTAACCTCCGTCGGAGGAACATGAAGCGTTACGAAATGAGAAAAGGAGAAGGCTCCGGGACTTATCTTGGTTTATTACTCCTTCACATCTTGGAACCTCTCACAGCAAAAAGTGGCGTGGGAAGAATGGTGGACCTTGTCTGAAAATCTATCAGGTCACTATTTTCGGTTGATTTTTCCGTTTTTTTTTTTGTTTTTGTCTATTAAGTGATGTAGCATTTCTGTAATTAACTAATGTTAGTTTTCCTCTGTATGTAGCATGTATTGCATCCCAAAATATGCTGTTTTTAGAATGCGGAAACATTAACATATGACATAAAGGGGCAATGATGGAACAAAAATAGTTTTGTTTGTTAGTTGTAAGTATTCCAGTTTAATGTAACTAAAACTTCATATTGAGTAATTGTTTTCATTGATGGAATCAATTCCATGCAGTCAGATTTATTATTTTTAAAAGGAAGAAAGAGAGCTTGATTTTGGCGAGAAATCATTTTCTAGATCTACTCCGACTAACAATTATTACCAGATGATAGTCATTTGGTCGATAGTCATAGTTACTTAAGAAGTATTTTGGATTTCGTAATCTATTATTTATTTGAATTCATTTAATTCTACCGGCAATATCAATTTCTTAATTTATATAAAAATCAAGGGAAAAAACAATATTACATAAATGTGTTGAAATTGTAAAAGTTTTATTTTATTTTCACCCCCTAGCCGCATTGGCCATAACCCTCGGACAAGTGTCTAACATTATAGTCGACCCAGTATCAACAAGAAAGTTCCATTGAAATCGATGGTCCCACGTCCGTAAACTCCGCTTTTAAGTTAAAGCTATTAGCTCTATCGAAATTTCTACAACAGTATGTGGGTTGTCATGAGCTCTATTCTATTTCGCTTGACCACCTCCCTCTACCACATCCTCTCAAAAAAATCATTATGAGTGACAAGTTCTTTCTCCATGACAGGCCAAGCGGTATCGTGAGAATAACCTCCTTCTGCGGCCTGCCATAAACTGAATAACTGGCTTATTTAATTGCACGCACAATTTTAATTCGGGGGTTTCACAGAGGAACTACTGAGACTAGCTGTCTTAGATATAATGGAACGTAATCTCTGCTTTGTTTTCCATATCAATTACCTCCGGTTGTTCACTTTTCTTAAGACTGGCCGTTATGAGTGATTAGTTTTTAGTATACAATGTTTTGAAGTTGCGTTATATTGTTAAAATAGATACTTATAATGTATGATTACTTGCTTGGACGTTACTTTGGTTGTAGTGATTTCATAAAGAACAAATTCCCCAAAAGGTAACCATGAGGAATGGTGGTGTAGGCGTCTTTCCTATCATATTTCAAATGTGTTACATATTTCGAAAGTTAAATCCGTGCCATTTTGCTGGCTTTAAGTAGACTAGTGGAAACAGAAGCGAAAAAAACATGCTAGTGACCTCCAAGGCAGCTGTTATATCAGTTTCTGGACCCAGAGGTGGGATAGCGATGATATACTGCGCTGTCAGGAGATCATAGAAGGACTGCTTAGAAAGAGAGAGACTATATTCCATTAGATCTCAGTCACAGTGGACTGCAAGGTAATGACATGCCGGAAGCTTTAGCGAAGGAGGAGCAGGAGAAAGAAACAACAGCATTGAGCAAGGAATGAAATTGAGAAATTTCTAAAAGAAAAACTACTTAAGAAGCAGACAAGTGCTGCTTTTGATAAATAATGGGTCTTATTGCTCAAGGAAGAGGCGCATCCCAATTGATAGGCCTAGAAAATACGCAGTTGCAGAATTCAGGATGAACGCCGGACATGATTGTTTAAAAAACATTGATATCAAATACGTGTAGCTGAATCATTGAACAGTAATCTCTGCAGCAACGGGTTCGTCACAAATGCGGTGCATCTTGCATCATGTCCTAGTTTGTTGGAAATATGAACACCAAATATATAAAAATCTGATATTTACGAGAAAACTCATGACAGAAGCCGAAAGTCAAGAGGCTGATAAAAAAAAATTAAGTGTTGATAAAAATGTGAGGTGAATGAAATAATATTGTTTTTATTAAATCAATGAGTTATCAGTTAGTTTCTACTGACTTTTATTGAGTTACTATATCAAGCGCTATTGCAGAATTTCCTGGTCACGTAAATGGCAACTTGAGTCACCTTCCGATAGTTCTTGGTCGCTCTGTTCGACGAGACAATCCTTTGCTGTAGGTAAATCTATATCCTAATACAGATATGAAATGTAGGCTTACCATAATTGCATCGATTCTTACCTTTAATTATTATTGTTAAATGCTTTCCTGGATTACTTGATTTTTCTTAGTTCGAGGTCAGGTAGGATCGATTTTCATTCTGGTTAACACATTCAACCAGGATGGGAAGGTCCTGTGTAAAACTCTACCCTAACAATCTGCATTAAATCGACATCTATTTCTGGATTGAATATACTCCAATCTTGGCCTATTTGACTTCGCAATACTGTGTTTCATTTATTCTATCTGACATAGAAGTTTGTTTTTTTTTTGTATAAAATTAATGGCTTATTAAGCCACTATTACTCATTTTTATGAGTTAAATTGTTGATGGCTTCTTGTCCTGATTATCCATATCTCTTATAAGTCCCAGATATTTTGTACTCAACAAATTTTTAAGTTTATTTATTTATTTTTTTAGTGGCTATTCTGTTAGCATATCTTCTAGCAAACCCTTTCAAGTCGACTTAAGATCAAGTTATTATCGCGAGTCTAAATATGTTATATGAGTATTATTATTAACTTATTGATATAATTAAATAATTATTTAATTTATTACAATATTGTAAGGAGTCTTATTGTGGTTATAAAATTAAATATCTCTACTTCACTGACAGTGGTAGTGCGCCCGTGCTAGGTCAGGTATAATGAGTTTTGATGATGATGAGCTCGTCATCGAGACCTTGGTATATAAATCAAAACCTCATCGCTGACTTTTACTTTTTTCTCTCCTATCTGCCTCCATATAAATATATCTGGCCATGCTGTATGCGGGTTGGCATGAGGGCGTTACTGATTGTGTATCGCTCTGATAATGGCACTTGTTTATTAGCACATATCCAATTATATTTTTATTTATATTTGTTTATTATCACTCAACTTATTTATTTTTTACCTCACCATATGTTGACTCCAAGCAAGGAGAAACCACTCTTTGTCGATTACTCCTTTCAGTTAAGTAATGGTTTGACTAATTTTCCCGCCTTGCCAAGCCAGTGTTTTGACTTCGACCTGTCTCCTTTTTAACCTCACCTTTCAGTGGTTTTGAGTAAGTTGATTTTTTTGCTTTCACTTATATATGAAGTATACAGTAAGAGATAGTATTGCGATCGTAAAAAATTTCAAATCTGAGTTCTCAATATTTGGAGGTCTCCTGAGTCCAAATCCCGCAAAATGGTCTGTGTGTGTGTGTGTGTGCGTTTGTCTGTATGTATATGACAGGTTTAGCTCAAAAACGAAAAGTTGTATGAAAGTGATATTGCATATTCAAGGTTTTTTTTATATAGTTTACAGACTTTTTCGTCAAAATCGGCTTACCGGAAGTGGCACTTTAAATTATCGATGAAACACATTTTTACTATTTTCTCTAAATTAGATTAAATTCATTATATCAGTGTAAACTTAAACAGTTTTTCATATTATTTAGGTTTTATTCTTATCGATGTACTTTAACATGGCTTAAATGGCTTAGTTTCAATATTAGCTTCCTCTAAAGTACCTTAATTTTTTTAAATTTTGAAACAGTTAACCATTTCACATTGATCTCTAATATAAAAAATAGTTAAATATAAAATATAAAAGAATTTGATTATTAACTAAAAGAGAAATATGAGATCGTAACAATGAATAGTTGTAATAAAGGAACCAAAAGGATACGAGCGAGGCCGAGCTGGCCCGAAGAATAGAACAGGCTTCCGTACGTAACATGAGCATAATAAAATACGGACTCGAAAAATTTTTCCGTTGCTAATATTTAATTTTATAGATTACAGTGATATAAATATTTAAATTTGTATATATAAGGATGCTTAAACAATTGAAAATATCCATAATGAAATATAAGTCAAATTGGCGTTTATAATTTTTACTTTCACTTCTCCTTTGTCTGCAAATACTTATTTCTACTGTTCAAAGAAGAGGGTGGTAATT